TCTCTCTCTCTCTCTCTCTCTCTCTCTCTCTCTCTCTCTCTCTCTCTATACCTCCGTATGTGTCCTCCGCTCATGATCATTTGCTCCCTTTCATCAACGACTCGAGACGATGGCGGCTGATTAGACACAACGCCGTCCTGACCGGATCCTCCGCCCCAAACTGGCTTGCACGCCCCGCTCTCGTCAAAGGCCTTCAGTCTGAGAGAGAGAGAGAATGTCTTTTTATCGTTCACTTGTTAAATGTGATGCACAAGAACCACACTGCACCCATACTGGCCTTACAGCTGCACTGCAGACTTTATTGTTTTATAGGTATGCAAGCTGTAGTGGAAAAGTGTCTGTTAGGTAACGCATGCATGGAACCTCGTGTGGGTACAGCAGTGGTCCGTTTATACAGTAGAGATGACAAACCGGTTGTAAGATGATATCCAAACAGCTGAAAATCAATACAACAAAGCAAGCGGGCAACAAAAGAAAGCAGGAATAAAGGGTGTGGTGTAAAAATCTGACACCACCTACTTATCACAGGAGCAGAGGCCACAGCACTTGCCCAGGTCAGTCAGGTTTTTCTCTGCCTCCTTCATATCAGAGTTGATCTGATCCAAGCCCTCCTCTATACGCTCCAACTGCTCTATGAGAGGAGAGAGAGGAGGATGGAGGGGTAGGCAGGAGGAGAGGATGAAAGGCAGAACAAAGGTGGACACGGAGAAGGAGTGGAAAGACGAGCAGGGGAAGGAAGACAGATGGGGTGGAGTGGGAGGGAGGAAGGCGGTGGAAGAGGAAGGTGAAAGTGTTAGAGGGGGAAGAGGACGTAGCAGGAGAGGAGACGGAGGAGAGGTGGGTGGATGGAGATGATGGGGAGAAGAAATAGCAAGGAAAGAGGTAAGAGAAAAGAGAAGGAGAGGAAAATTGGAAGAATGGAGGGAGGAGATGGTGGAGGGGAGCGGCAACGTAAATTCACCCACTGTTTCCTGAAAGCCCCGCAGCTGAACTTAAAAAAATAAATAGTTACCAGCTACTGAACATGAGATGCCCACAACTAAAAAACAAAGAAATCCACTGACAAATCATAAATAACATCACTCTGCACAAACAAGGCCACGCGTGGCAGAGCCGCGCGTGTCGATGTGCCGGTTGTTTGCACCCTGACCTCAGGGCCCAGTTCCATCATGTTTTATAACTCAGTAAACTCAATTAAAAAGCAGTGTATGTTTATAGAGATTGTTCATGAAAAAGGTTTTTTGCTGAGTTTTCTTAATTGAAATAGTAATTTAGTGCTTGTATGAAATAATCATGTGTTTGAATTTATCTACTTACCATTTCTTATGTATTCTATTCATATTTGCCCAGATATCAAAATGTATCATTTTTTGTTAATCATGGAAATTTCAAAAAATCTGTAAATATGGATGGATGGACAGACGGATTGATGGATGGATGGATGGACGGGTTGATGGATGGGTGGATGATGGATGGATGGATTGACGGGTTGATGGATGGGTGGATTGATGGATAGGTGGGTGGATGGATGGATGGATGGATGGATGGATGGATGGATGGATGGGTGGGTGGATGGATGGGTGGGTGGATGGATGGATATATGGATGGATGGATCGATGGATGGATTGACGGGTTGATGGATGGGTGGATTGATGGATGGATGGAT